CGATGACGCTTGCTACCTGAAACGTTTGGCCATAAACTTGCGCCACTTTCGAAAACCAACGCTGCCATGTGGCAAATGCGGGAACGAACTACGCAGAAAAACCAATGAAGAAAAATTACAGTACCCTGTGTATTACAAATCTTGAGCGTCTGGCTTTTACATATGAGGATGGCACAGAACGAGTAGGAGTTGCACGAGATTATCACAGATTTAATTTACCCACCACTACCTGTTGCGACAAGTGTCATGTCCGTCGCTTCTCGCAGGTCCGCCACCTGCAATAAATTCTCCTAAAACTTGACTGGAATTGAATTTTTATCTGTATATCTTAAGACTATTGTCAACGTTAACAGCGACACAGCCGAAACATGATTAAACCAATCAAAATGTATAGCAAATAAGAAGAGTGGATTAATAAATACCTAATCAAGAGAAAATAACCGCATACCTTGTTCGATAGCCGCAGGATCCATTAAGGATAGAGGGATGGGGAAGAAGCGAGCAATCAGTGGCTTCTAGTAAGCAGCGATTCTTGCTACGGCATGCATATAGTACCAATAAGGTTTTCTACATCGGAAACAGGTACGGCTTTCATGTGGGAGACACTGCCGATCTGAGATAAAGTTTCATCACCTTGTCGATCATACTGAAAAATATCCATCGTCCGTGGCACTTAATTTTAAAAAGTTAAGTTCGTTTCACACTCAGGCTTCCGAAGCTTTTCCGACGAGCACGCACCAGGCTAATTGACAACTGTGCTGATTCTTTAAATGCATATTCTGCTGTGTTTACAAATAATACATTTAATCTAATATTTTGAGGATGCTTCCAGAAGGAAAGGCGAAACGACTGCTAATTGTTTAGCTGACCGGCCAAAGACCTGAGGTCGGTCAAGAATGACCCTTGGAAAGAAACGGACTCCAAATTGCTCAAGACTCCGGTTTTTTCTGGTGCCGAGGGTGAAACGCTGGCACAGGATCGGGAAAGTTGGAGACATTGTCTGACGCTGCTGCCCAACATCCGAAAGGATAAACAGTCATCGAAACCGACTGGCAGATTTAGGTTTTCTAGTTTCCACTCTTTCTGTTCTTTTGCTTCTTTTCTCCCTAACAATGTGGTTCCAACGCGTAAGTTGAAAATCTTGAAAAGCAAAGCAACTGGGCTATAAATCAGAGACCACTGTTTTCACCCGCAGCGCTGCCAGAGGTTTACAGTAAACCCAGAGAAGCATCACCATGCCGAAGCGAAACTTAAGGTGAAAGAAAGTGACGCGAATGACATGCGGCGCGACGCCACCGCCTTCGACTAATTAATTAAGAGTACGGCTGACAATCATAGTAACGTCGGAACTGCGGCAGTGGCAGGTAAACACCATTCATGTGACACTTATGCTAATTAGATCAGTTACAACCAGTAAAATTAGCAACTCCGTAGAAACTTTTTTATGAAGCCGTTTACCACGAGTCTGCAACCGTTGCAAAAAACGTTCTTGCAAAACATTGTCCGCTTAATGGTCTGGCAAAACAACTGGTTGGACATCAAAACAGCAGCTACATCGAATCGCTCGACGATGCCATGATGCTATGGTCGGCTAGTGATTAGCCAGCCCTTCGCTGAATAAGGTGACCAGATTATAAAAATCGATGGAAAGAAACTGTGGTAAGCTTCAGTAAGACGGATCGACGTTACCAGGGAAGATATTAAAGCTTCTACAGACTTTGTTTTATTATCAGAAATGGTGGAAGCCCATTACAATACTCAGCCTATGCTGACGTTCAGGGGTATGCGTAAAACTTGCTTAATGCAAACAATATAAAATACAACTTTTTACCATCATTAATTTTGGGCGCGCAACATAATATCCGCCATGTAAGGTGCTTCGAAGAAAAAGCGCACATCTTCAGATATTAAATCTCGCCACAACTTATAATCGGCAATATTTTTAATTTTTATTCATGGAATGCTCATGGAATAATTCTTATTCATCGCCCTGTGCTGATCATTGATGAGCTATCAGGCGGGTCTAGATGAATTATGGCCGTGTAGCCTACGTACCAGACTACACCATAACTTCGCATAGGTCCGACTCTTCGCGCATCACTTGTTACATATTTCTCAGCTGGTTGCACTGAAGCGCAGTTGGAAGGGGGTCCTTGTTCAAGCGAAGCGGCAATTATATAAGAACATAATTTTGCGCCGTGCAAAATTGTTCATTACTGAAATAAGAGTGCTGCGCAAAATCATGAAATTTAAGGATACCTCAGCCATAGATGCATCATCTTGTATAAGTCCAAGACAAACATGTATGCTACGCCTAATCTCCAATGCGATATGACAAAAACCGTGCCATACTTCAACGGCTGCTCAAACGAACTGCGTACTCTTAAGTAATATTCCATACTTCATCTGTAGTTTATCATGTCCAGTCATCACCTAGGCGCGTGAAAAGTTCGAAGGTAGACCCTGACTTTTAGAATAGATAGTAAAAACATGAGATGCATTCGCCTGCTCCAAATACAAGCGTGATCCCTCAAAACCTGACGCTCTCGTGGAAAGCGAACAAATGTGCCTCTCACTTCCTCCAAGATGAGTACTATTCTCAACCCAGGTAAAAGATGTAAAGTCGCCAAATGTTTCCTTTCACGTAGTAAGACGCGTAAGGAACCCGTTTGACGTAGCAAGTTGGGCGAGGCAAATGGACACTGAATCAGGGGCGAGGTTTTAT